ACAGCCCTTTGTCTTTTTGACAGAGAAAATTATGACGAAATGACACGAAACTCGGAAACGATAAGATTGGATAACATGATGAAAATGGCGTGGCTTATGTGTCATTGTGTGGTAAATGCCACATTTACGGTTCTGTTGGCTTCCAGCAGTTTTCAGAATAAAGTTCAGCGGTCAGACCTCTTATGTCACTGTCGGTATACGCGGTACCTTTCCTACCGTCACTTGTTTTCCGCTTACGCCATTTTGTATGAATGTAATTACTCTGTTGTTATTCTTGTTTGCACCAAGGTTCTATTTTTAAAACGGCTCATTTTAGTCTAGCTGTAGTTTTCGGATCAAGTCAGTTTTGGTGCAATTGTTTCTATATTTGCTGAATTGTTTTATGCTATACCTAACCTTGCTTTTACAAAAAACCTAGATGTCAAGGTCAATGCATTAACACTTAGTTTGATCCAAATCAAAAATAAGACATCAAAATCTGACATCAATCAAACTGATCAGCATTCAGAAGACACTGCAGAGCCTAGTGTCCGCAATCCAATATCTTAACATTCTCTCGATAGTATTGGAATGTTTACGATGCACCGTGCGCGTGAGTCGCCGCCGTTACTGACAGTTATTCAAACTGGGCAATGGGCCCATCACATGCTGTGTTGCCACTCGACCTTCGCCACCGAACACTGACTGTGTTGCCAATAATTGTTTTGAATACATTACAATGGCTGCTAGGATTTCCCCTCCATTACCCTTGATAGTATCTATCGATTGTCTACAATGTGACACTATGTAAATACAAAAGTTTTAACTCCTGAAAAGGATTAAGAACGCTAGTGTACTATAGAGGAAAATCTGATCTGAACGGTATTTTTCTCGGACAAAACAAATCAAACATCATATATATATGTATATACTAAGAACTAACTACCTTTAAGACCAAGGCCAACGTAGCTTATCCGTTATTCCCCTAAACGTTTTTTAAATTTGCTCACGTAACAAAACGGATTATCCTAATCTTAATTGCTGAAGCTAATTACGTTAAGAGAAGTAACCGCAAACTCCCAAATTTAAACCATAAAATTCCTCAATGAAACACACACTTTCATGAAATCCTATCGAAAGACCTACAAAGAAAAATATTCTTTTGTTCAATAGAAATAGGTTTCTATGTTGTCTGTATTTTATCTGTAAACAAAGCTGTTTCAAAGACTTTCTTTTCTTTACAAAATTGCTCCACTTAGCGAATAATGGTACAACTAAATTAGCTATTTTGCGTTTAAAGATGTTGACTGTTCAATGTCATATTGTCAAGTATTTTGAAATGACTTTCCCCTCATTTGCGGTATTTTAGATAACGAGGAATAAAAGACCTAACTGGTTTTGGGGTTTCGCCTGACTATTTAATGCGTTGGCCAATAACATTTTGCTACAAAAAGCAGGAAGTGTCTGTGTATGTCTTATTAAGATAACCATATTATAATTATTGCAAATAGGTTTCTTAAAACCTACTTGTTTTTTTAATAGTGTATCGTGATACAAATTAAATCTATTCAAAATGAGTAATTCATACTAGTGAAGTCACTGAGAATATCTCCATTAGTTTCTACTACGAACGAGACTCTTATTCATGAGCCGATTCCTAATCTAATCCTGCCTAATCTAGATACATTCAATTTTTCTTTAGAAATAAGATCATATACATATATAAACGTACCTAACTATAATATATGTTTACAAATTGTAATTTCTCATGTCGCAAACACAATCATCAGCATCAGCTCTATAGTCCAACCCCCAGACACGCGACACCAACTAACCTTGATTCGGAAACCATTTTCTAAATAAACATAGCCATTAGATAACCATAGAGTTGCACTATGGTGTCAAACTTGTTCTCTTTGCCATGATTTCCATCACGTATTGTTAGACTTTCTAAGAGGTGCGCAAGCGCAGGTAAATACTGTATCTGAACGCGTCGCACGCGCCATTGTGTAACTGTTACAGAAGATTGATCGCTTTATGGATTTGTTAAACACTTCCCTAATGTTATGTGGCTTATTTATAAGCTGGGGAGATGGTTGGCAGCCATTTTGGTGCTCGTGACTTACTAATAGGGGTCCTTATGTAATAATTACATACTAGTTAGTTCTGGTTCAACCAATACAGCGGGATCACTTTGACCAGTAGTACATACCTTATGTTTAATGACAAAGCGTATAGATATTGGAGAGATAAAATAAATAACTCGGTCTTACAGTACAGTTTACAGAAGGTAAAGGTTTTTTATGCGCTTCCTATGAACGTATTTTTTCCTTTTAGTTCGTAAGTATATTGTATTAAGCTATTTGTGTGCGAAGATAGATATACCTGCTCCACATTGTTATAAGCACAAACATATATTCGTACACACCTATATAAACTCCTTGTGTGCAAACGCGACATCATTATTGAGACTTCTACAATGCGATTTTTTTACAATGATGTATTTCTTGAGCCTTGATTATAGTAACAGCAATATTGCAATATTATTAAATAACCCAAACTCCGGTCGAAATAATAATCTTCAATGCTTTCTAAAAAAATTAACACGAATTAATCGCTTTATATCTAATAATTAGCAATTGCAACGATCTTGTAATAATTATTAGTGCTTGCAACACCGCCCCAGTTACGTAAGCACGTTCATCTCGGTGTTACCCACTTAGTTCTGAAACTAGATTTCTAGTATTTTACGATTCTCCATGCACGTTTGCAAATTGTAGACTTAATTGCTTTGTAATTAAACTTCTTTTTAGGTTACATCACACACAATAGATATCAATGTCTTTATTCTGATGTCTTTTGAGGTTGTAAACTTGTTATTGGGTTTTATTGTCAAATTTAATCAAAGCGCAATCAATACTCGAATGATTTCAATGGTAAAGGTCTCGGGTTTCTTGGTTACCGTATGATAAGTTAGAAGAATAAACTTTTGAAAACTGTTGAAATTCCTTTCAAATGAAACAATTATAACAAAAAGAACTATTATTGATACCAAGCGTGGGAGAGCCAAAATCGGCACGAATGGGCTTGCTCGACCGGAGTCATACCACGGCCTCACAAAAAGCCGGCTTGAAAAAATCAGTGTTTTGTGTCACCAAGTGGGTGAGGTTATCGGGGGCACAATCCTTAATTACTTCCCATGCCGCCCCCAATCCGTAAATCCTCGAATCCTTAATACCAAAAGCTCATTTGGTGTTGCGAGTGGCCATGGCGGCGCCGATTGCTTAACAATATGGCACTATGTACCAAATTTCTAATAAGGAAACTATTTTCTATGAACTATCTGTCACATAAGTTATTCGGAAACTTATTTCAAGGCGGCAGGTCTATTCATTCATTCAGCCGAGGTTAAGCGCATTGGGTTACCGCGGCCTCGGCCTAAAGCAGAAGAAGGAACGGGGGGCTTTTAGTCAGTCTGAGACTCTCTCCCGCCCGACCTTGGGCGGGGGAGATGTCATTTGATGATTTTCCTCGAACAAAAAAAAAAGGTCTATTCATTCATGAAACTTGTGATTTTTATTCTATTGTACGACCCAAAACTACGAAATTGGGTTCAACTAACAAACTAGAAAATCAAAGAAACTGTCATCCAAACCAATTTTCAGAATAAAGAAACATGTGGAGAAACCACTAATATGATGGAAAAACATCTCTGACATTCACAAGCTAAGCATGATTACACGTAGGTAAACAAAAGAATTGGTAAATCAGGTATGATCTGCGGCGCGTGCGCAGTTCCCACGCGGTGAAAGCACTGCCCCGCACGGAATGACCCCATACTGTGATATTTTACTAGAATAGGTCGAAAACGTAGTGTGTTACAGCCAGTAGTAGTTCTAGATATCATAACAAATGCATACATACAAATGATATTAACATTTTTTAGTAATTCTTAATCGCATATCTATTTAAATTAAAATCTGATTATCTGATTATATTAATCAGTAGTTAACTTGCCACAGAACAACACTATTCAGAAAATCTAAAAAGTACAATATTTTATCTAACAACACATTGAGAGACAAAGAGAAAACTATAAAGCGACAGCTAATGCCATCCTTTTCTCTCAAATATTCATGTTTTCGCCATAAAGTTCAATGTTTTGGCGCGAAACCTACTTACATAAAGTACCACTTACATGTTAGCAAAGAATGTTTTTGTCTCCTAAATACATGCTTAATGTTGACCGTCCTTTATTGTCCGACACGACACACCATTGTCATTCAAGCAGCCGTAAAATTACTGCCAGCTATAATATCAGCGAGTTGCATGCGAAATTGCGTATTGAGGAATCACTTAAAATCTGCTCAATAATATAACTTTTTATTGTCCTATAAAACAATATTAATTGTACGACCTCATCTAATATAGGCATGCGTAAGTTATGTTATATTATTATTAGTTAAACTCATAAATCCGATAAGCCGTTCGGAACTTTTTTTTTCTTTTGCGTAAATCGAAAATTTCAGAAGCGTATTTTGACCCTGGTGTCGCTCCGAAAGGACACTCGCACTCTTTAAAAGGTAGTCCATATAACATTATATGTGTCTATAAGTGTAAGTGCTAAACGTTCTCTGTAACAACATAAAATCTTTCATCATCAACATTTTCTCATGAACCAATAAGTTTTTCTATTACAACCAGCAATTGGTTTTCATTACAAATACATTTTTCATTTAGTATCAGTAACACAATCTCGTGGGACACTTATGGCGGTAATGGGCCATTCAACTTAAACGGAAAACTGTTCAAACAAGTCGAGCCGTAGTGACAATAGAAACTTAGAACAATCGCCTCGCGACCTACCATTGTGATCTACATTGATAAACTAAACCAGATTTGTAATCTGCATAATATTTATCTTAAACACTTCTAAAATTGTAACTTTTTACTTTTTTTGAGTAGCTTCCTTCTTCTTCAGTTTACTACAATATTTTTTATTTTTCTTGTTCCAGATGGCGCAGTAAAGCAACGACTGACATCCCTCACAAATGTTAATTAGCCCAATGGAAGGCGACACGATAACCACGAACACTCTCATATCGTCGATAAAAAAATTCAACACCGACGGCAAACAACACGGCACTATAAAGGCATTACTGAAAAACTTCATCCTTCCAGAAACAGAGATGGCTATTAAGGAAAATCAAAGTAATAGCAACAAATATATTTACTCAGTACCTGCGAAACCACCTCTGCCGTCATTGACGGAAAGAATGAAGTCTATACAAGACGCGAAACAGGCATTCTTAAATTCAACTGTTACTTCCACTACTCCGCCTCTTAGTCATGAAACTAGCAAAGACAATCACACCGTACACTACGCACAGATAGCCATAACTACAGATAGTGAAGACACTAGGAGCACAGGTGGAGGCAAACACATCAAACATTCGTGTGCCACCTACAACAAAGAATATAGCATTCCAATAAATGTATCGCCAAGTATTAAGAAAACAATGGAACAGCATCAAAGAAAAGTTAGTTTTAAGATTAAAAATGCCACGACATCATACAAACGACCACCTTTAGCCAAAACATTGACGATAACAAGCAGTAAAGTTGCAGAACTCACAAAGAAATTCAACAACTTACAAACTGAAACACACAATGTTGCTTCACCTAAACAATCTAAACTGGTGAAGACCCTAGAAGAATTGCAATCAGCGTCACGATGTTCCGCTAGCAATAGTTCCACACCCTCTTCAACGCTCAGTTCAAGTCCAAATATAAAAATAGTACTACGTCAGAGGCGAAACTCAAAAAAGCGCCACAATAGGAAAAGATGTTCAAGCATGGATTCAATGGAAGATTTAATGATTGCAGATAGTTCAAATAAAATTCGTGTTATTCGTTCAAAATCTGATGGTACCAAAATGGCAAAAGCTTCAAAGAAGCGCTTAAAGTACCAGGATTCAAGTGAACAACCGAGTGGATCTGATTCTGTTGATGGTAGTCCAGTCAAAGTTAAGGAAGTTGAATCAAAAAAAGAAATCAAACCGGCGCAAAATAATGTAGTCAAAAATGTAATCAAAAAATTTGAATGTGAAATAACTGCTCAATCCAATTCAAATAATACATTAAGAAAACAACCTGATAAAGTTAAGAGTACAACACCATTGAAAGAAAAACCAAAAGTACCTGAAAAAAAATCATCACTAGTGTTAACCAAAAATGTTGTAGTAAAAGATGGCATTCCAAAAATTAAAACAATCAAACCTGTTACAAATGAATTAGCAAAGCTAGATAATAAATCAGACCAAAGTGAGCGTGAAGCCAGTAAAAGGAAAGAACCTTTGTATGACCGCAAAAGGTATAAAACAAATTACATTCATTCCGATAAATTACCTTTAAAGGTTGTTGAAATAATCCCTGAAGATATTCACGAAAACAGTACAGTTACATTTACTGTGAGTAGTGAGCAGAAGGAAGAATCAGTCCCATCTCTAAACGTTCCAGGACCTACTGAAGAAGACAAGGCTTATCAAGAAATTAATTCGCCTATAACACCGAACGAATCATTTTTGTGGCGCCGGAAAAGTAGTACACAAATATATTCAGACTCTGAAAAATCAGATAATTCTTACAGTTTTGTTAGTGTTTCTACAAATGGCACTACCATAACTTGTTCAGATGAACCACGTGAAATCATCGTAGAATCTCAAGTTGAAACTAACGAATCTCAAGTAAACATTTCAACAAATGAGCAGAAATCTGAATCTGACATGGACTTTGAAAGTAATCTCGTTGAAGCCTGCAACAAAGAAATCATCATTGGTTTTACATCAAAACCAAAACAAGAGGAAATAGAGGATTATTACGAACCTTTAGAACCTAGAGATGAAGGAAATGTCGTGATCATTCCAATAAAAAATGTAGATAGATCCTCTAAAATAAATTGTCCTTTACCGGAAATTCCTAAGACCGAAAATGATAAACATGAAGAAGATAAATGTACAGACAAGGAAAACATTTATCAATGTTTACTTGAAATGAGATCACATCCTGAAGGTGATGAGAGTAGTCTACATAACTATGAACTATGTGATAATGAACTTGAGGAGAGAACGAGAGGTGATGGTGACAGTGACGATGGCTATGAATATTGCAAGTCTCCTATCAAACCGTATTGTGTAACCTCAAGCTCTGGTATCCAGATTGCTGAGGGTTACCAACCAAGCAAAAACTACGCAATTTCAAAGTCAGTAAGCGGAACGTCCACTGTCAGCTATGAAAAAATAGGATCAGAGAGGATTTATGAGAAAATTCCTGCTCGGCCACCAAAGTCTAAAGACAGCAGTCCCACATACAGTAGTCGACATTCCATCATTTCCGACTACACGGTGTATAACGAGAACGAAAATATATATGACACGATAAAACAGGGCGACGCGACATCGTTGTCGCACTGCTATGAGAGCATACCTAACAGCCCGAGTATGGTAAAACTTAGGAGTATGAAAAAACAGGTGCCCTCGAACGTACAGAAGCGTCTCTCGTTTGACACAGTGTCGAATATCAGCCAGTCGACGATGTCAAGTGAACAAAAGACTAACAGCTTGTATGGGCAAAGGTCGGTTATCAGCTATAACGGACAGGAGATCGCGTTCCAAGTCCCGAGCAGTGAGACCAGCGTCAGTGACAGAAGTGATCGCAGCGACGACTGGGTAGATGTATCGGATGAAGAAAAAAATGAACAAAAAATCATCATGTAAGTTGAAAATATTTCCCTAACTTATCTCATTATCGCTTTACAAAGATTTAAAGATAATCTGGCGTTTTACTAAACTTGTACAAATATTAGTAATGGCGGTATCAATTAAAATAAAAACATAGAAATCAAAATGTAAACAAAAATATTGACAAAACAATATCTGCTCAATATAGTGAGCATATTACAATTTTTCCGAACATCAAATTATCGTTTCACTTGACCTAATAAAAATACTAGTTACCCGCAATAGCAGTTTCCAAAGCGAAGTACAAACATTGTTATCGGTACTTGATACGAAATTGTGTTTGCTGGTGGCTCAGTAGAAGTAGTGAAATGAATAGGGAAGCACGCTCACTGAATAATATTATTACAATCTTGTTTACAAAATGGAAATTCTAAATTACAGCGTACGGGAAAGAAGTCGGGGTAGGAAAAGTCCAATCAGCTGGTCGCAGAAAGTCAGACATCAGTGGCAGAAATCACCAAAACCCAACAGCAATGAAGGTAAGTCCATTTTTTATTTTCTTCGATTAGCACTAAACCAATACTACCGGAACGTTTGGTAAACATAACTTTAAAACTACTTAAGCCACTGCGTTTATAAATGTTTACGACAGCGCCATCTATGATTCACCGCGGAACCTACGTGCAATCGATGTATAGTTTAGTTCGGGTTGATCACTGCAGATGTCGTTATAAATGCTATTAGGTATTGCATTAACTTTATAATTGAGCTTCGTATTGCTCGTATATTGGAAAATAAGATTTAGGTTATATTTATTTCTGTAAATAGGTATTTAAATAGGAAGTTGGGTTGAGGTTGAGCTTTATCTATTGCTGATTTATTTCACGCAACCGACTTAAGGCTCTGATTTCGCAAACGGTGGCGACAGGCGTCCTACGCGCGCATTCCTACTCCATAACAATGCTTGTCTCGATGTTAGTTATTTCCTTTTTTACTGTTCGCTTTGCAAATATTGGTTAATATTTGAAGCCTTTTAGAGTTACAGACATTCAATTCAACAATATTGTAAATTAACAATTATAGATGATAAATTTTATCTCTTTATGGTAATGGCGTTTGGTTGAAGGTTTTCAAAAGGGCTCTAAAAGCGTCTGCCAAGCCAAGGACGAAATCTCTTGTTTGATCACAGTCAATAGGAATCTTTATTATGTAATAGAAAACTTTGATTAATAAATACTATTAAAGTGTGGGCTAAAATAAGTTGCAAGTTCATGACCCGCGCAGTTCACTCGCCTAGCGCCTGTAGGCGGCCACTAATTGTTACCGGATTCTTGCGCGCGCGCCGCCCGCCTTGTTGACACATGCGCGCCATACCAGTCGTATATTACTTAAATGGCAGACTAATATTAAATGAAAACTATTTTGTTTGTACTTATACCTTACCTTTAATATGATACGTCAGCGTTCTTTGATATTTTGAAGTTCTTCTTAGGCTTATTGGGTCAAGATTTTAAAGGATACTACGTAATAACATCATTATTATATGTTTTTGATATCACCAATTAAGACAAGCAGGCCATCCGCCATTTGGCCTATTAAGCGCTTCTATGTAATACCAGGAATATCTATAATGAGATTTTGAGATTAACCTTTGTTATGTATTACAGTTACAACGATCTCCATGAATACGTATTTTACTCTAATGATTAATTTACATTGAACATCTAAGGTTTTGATGTTTATAGTAAAATACCTAATCCATATTATAAAACTTAGGACTTAAGCTTCAGGTCGGTAACCCAGTGAAAACTATTGATTTTCTGGCGGGGTGGTTAAAGGCAGAGCGGTCGATACGACCGGTGACCCACATTGATAAAAATATGTGGATAACAAAACCATACTTGATTATAAAGGACTATTATTATTTTCCAAATTGAGTGCCTAGTTTTGTTCGAACTATGACATTAGGTAGTTTCAGTTTTAGATTTTAATCTATCTTCACTTGTCTTCTTCGATCTGCCCTTATATCAAATTAATGGAAGCGCACAACCTCTTCAACTTCTTTTTTCTCCATTTTCTCCTATCAGACGTCATACTGTTTCACATTTCCTTTTTCATCTGGATACAAAACCAATTGCACTATTTTTGGGTGACTGCTTTCCTTTATTGTCCATTTTACCACCTTCATGTACCTAAATACCTGATCAATTTATGTAGCACAAAGTTCATACAAATCGCGTCACATTTTCATACATTGAGGCCTAGCACTCATCAGACATTGTGAGACAGGTCCTTAGTCTAACTCCCTTGAACATCATCATCAGCGTCTACTAGACTGGATCTGGAGAGCTTTCAAAGCCACACTGATTATAACACCAACCATCGTTCGTAACATCAGGATAATAGAAAATTTTACGATGCTTATAAATTATCATAGATATATCGCCACATTACACAATGAGAACTTATTTAACAGATATATAGAAAATACATACTTCGTTTTCCATCAATAATTTTATTACAAACTAGCTGTTAGAAAATGTTTTTAATTTTCGCCTTCACTTTTTTATGCCTTCCGGATAGTCGTTACATGTTACAAGTTATGTAGGTACTCTTACTTTCATCATGTTTTATACTGACAGCACATCATAATATACTTTTTGCATTTTATCTTTTGTATCTTGTAGGTACGGAAACATTATAAGATCTTCTGATACAAAATGCATTGTTATGTTTTATAACGCTGTCTATAGAAACTTTATACGTCCTATACTTGTACGTCGATAACTTTTCAAAATGGTTGACTCACAAAGGCTTTGTCGTGGTTATAAGGACAGGTGCATAATTGCTGTGGACTCAGAACATAATACCTACGTTTGAAATATTTTTGGGTGCGGCTTGCGTAGATATGTATAAAACACATGATACTTGCTTTTTCTGGCAGTTGAGAACTCATTCACGTCCTCGTCCCGTCCACGTCTCATTACCGTTCAGAACTTATCAGAGTCAGATGGGCTTGGTTTAAAATATCTGATTTCTTTACCACAATACTCACGGTCATCGGCCAAATATTTGTTTTGTGCATTTTCTGTTATTTTCTAGTTATTTCCATCATTTATTAATAATCATATCTATGAAAGATGTGAGAATAAAAAAAAGAATTTGTATTGCAAATTAAAAAGACAAATAATAATAAGACAATACGTTATGCGCGGAAATCTGGCCTTAGTGCATGCCGAGTTACATCGGATCAAAAGTTTTAAGATCTTGAAATGAACTGTTCAATCGTAACAGAAAGCTACGCTACTTTTAGTTCCGCTAATCAATCAACAATTTCAAATGCAGCAATTGTAAGTTCTAATAAAATAACCAACAACTATATATCATTCTTATTAGCATTCTAGCCAGTCAAGTGTGAATTGTATTAAAATAGAAAGTTACCTGCCAAGGTCTAAGTAAAACATTATACATTGCCGATTAAGAAGCCATTTATAATGCTCAGATTCATTATAGGTATCTCTAGTTTGCATCTCTGTACTCGCATACAGATATGATTATCTTCACATCTTTTCTGATGTGCTCAATATTTTTAAACTGTTGTATAAGTGGTAACCACTTCTGATGTTACCTACATGAAAGATGTATGATGTTGATACGTTTTAACTGATTCAGTCACACGAGTCATTTAGGGATGATAGACAGTCATTCAGTAATGATACCTACCTATCAGTCAAGTTGTTGCATTGCTTCCATAGAGAATACTCTCTTGATCAATAAAAAGACTCCCAGATCCAATATCTCACTATTTTTCAATTCCCAAATCTTCATCATAATTTGAACTGAGACAAAAGATATTTTATTCAGAAACAGCTTACTTTTATCAGTTAAGGATGTTTTTTTTTAATGAAACGCCAAGTTTGGTTGTACTTTTGATTTATTCGCCGATATAACATTTAACACCCAAAATAGCCGTATAATTCAATCTGTCAACAATAGCAGCAATTACTACGTGAACACAATGTTTTCAACAATGCCCTGATAATCTACAGACAATAGCAAATCAAGCTACACCTTATCTTGTGAAGTTCTTCAATAAACTTCAAACTTTATACCAAAAACATACAGTTCAAAATTAAGTTTGCCATTGTGCCTTTAGAATTTGTGTACGCATTGTGCAAGGCGACTGAAGTGGACTTCCTTATTGGGTCTGCGCCCTTCGACCCGTACGCACAAGCCGTGACCATAAGGCCATAACCCATTGTTACCAGCTGTGAGACAGTTGGCTACGGTTTCTTAGCAGGGCTGACAGGTTCTGGAAACAATAATTCTTTCCATTTTTCTACCATCAATGAGGGACGATACTTTATGCTTTTTTATCCAGACCTTTGAGACTTTTGATCTAATTTTCTTTCCTTTCGTGCTAATGTTCTCTATTCTATATTTTTTCTAATTCATCTGTTTCACACTTTTTACGCCGGCCTACATCGTGTCATAAGTATGTTGTTTACTAAATTCATTGCAGTTCCCTTCTATAATAAAGATTTGCCAAGTCTAGTAATTCTTAATTTCTTTATTTGTCAACCCTGTCCAAAATCGGCTTCTGTTGACAACTTTATTATTGACTCCATGAAAATTATGTTCATTGTAAACCCGGTTGGTATCAAATTCGTCCATTTTCTGTTGTACTTTCACCACAAACAGATGTTGCAAACTCTGAATCACTGTTATGGTTACAAATTGTTATTTGACTTGTGTTACAGTCTTGTTTATTGTTGTCACAAATATTGCGTTTGATTAATGAATATCTAATACGGTAGTTTCCAACTAGTAAAATTGAATACTTTTATCCAAATGTCAAAAACGATACTTTTCTATGGAATTTATATGAAAAACCGAATTATGATGTCATAGTTTTTTTGGTCAAATAGTTTACTTATTTATTTATAATTTGTTAATAAATATCTAAAATTTAGTGCATCGATCGATCGATGAATAAAAGTATGGTTATTTTTTAATATTTTATTATATTAAAATGTCGAATTAATTTATTTTTGACCTAGAAAACTACCCAATTTAAGCTGTTTGTTCTGTCACACATAATATTAAAAGAAGCTGAAAAGAAGGCTGGTAATTTATATATGAAGACACGGGCTTAAGTTCCAGTATATGTGGCGTTCTGTTTTCAAAATTAAAATCTAGGACGGGTTTCTTTGCTTGTGTCTACATTCTTCAAAGTATGTACAAGCTAATTATTTTAAAATCTAAACTTAGAAATGCTTGACGGTACCAAAAGTCTCTGTCTGATACTAAATAAGCTGCTTAGTTATTTCACGCTGTGTCCGACACGATGCAATAAACTGGCCCAAGACGCTGCATGATTAACTGATGATACGCATCGCTGCCTACTTGCAACTGCCGTAGGTAGATGCTGAAGCTCATGCGAAGAATTCGTCAGTATTACTACGGATTAAAAAATAATAAACTCAAAATCCTTTTCTCTGAGATCTGAGGTTAGGGAGTCTGAAGTGAAGTCTAATAT